ATCTACTCAATGGAATGCCTGCGAGTGTTTCTGCACTCTTTCCAAGCTCGAGCCTGCTGAAGGCATTTCAGAAGAAGGTGGAAGCTGCAGGCAAGAACAAACATGTTGGAACAAGTTGTAAGCACTGTGATGAATTGTCTTGTTCCGTTTTCCGTGGCAAGAGCCAGTCCAGGTGGTGGAGTCGAGGCGGTCCTGGCTAGTTGCTGCATGCGGAAGGGTGGCTTCATGCGCTTTCTTGCTTCTGGATGATCTCGCTTTCATTTGGCTTCTGCTCGCCAGTGGCCGCCAGAAAGGCACTTACTACGTCTCTGTGCAGCCCACTACTGTAAGGCTTTAGTCCACCAAAGAAGACCGGGCTGCTTCTCGAGTCGTTGCCGTGAAACCGCTGAATACGGTTGGACAGCGCCAACGGTTGGAAGTCGTCACAGCATTCCAGGTGATGCTCGCAGCCGGGTGGCTTCCGGACACCATGCCCGAAGGGGAGGCTGACGTGTCAAAGATTGTAGCCACTTTCTCAGGACACTGCACAAGCTATGCTGCAAGCAGGACTGTTGGCTGCTGAATGATGCCGCTGTTCAGCAGGGAGCTTAGACGCCGGGTGCTATATCGCCACGGTGTTTCGGCTTTTTCGCCACACACCACCAACGATGTTGTTTTGTTTTGCTTTGCTTCTGCTTGGGTTCCATTTTGAGACGTTCTCACATTACACCTGTTGTCGTGGCCGAGGAGGCAGGCATCCGTACGCAAGACCTTGGAAAGCGAGCTTGCAAAATTGCCGGATGCACAGATGTCTGATGCTTCCCTGTCTGTGGTCTAGCTACGGGTATATGAGCTGCGCTGTGAGACTGTTCTTGAATGTTCTCGATCTGTAGGTAGAAGCTGTCAGCAATCAGGGATTTCGTGGAATTTCGTCGGTTGATGCAATGTGAGAACTTCGAGGCCAGCAGCTCCAGCCCCGGTGCCAGCACCAACGTCCGAGTCCTACCAACAGCTGCTTTCACGTTCTGTATGCGTGCTGCCTGCCGGTAACTTCACAGGACGTGTAACGGCGTGAACAACTTTGGCTCGGGGTGCAACCGTTGTTTAGGGTTTAGTTTATAAGACACCCAGGCATCGACAGCTTCAAGTGGGCCGGGTTGGCTGCAGAGAATTCGCGGCGAGGGAGCGCGTGCGCACGCCCACCCGCCTGCCAGTGCGCCCGCCCTCCCGCCCGCGAGCCTGCCCACCTGGCCGCATGCTCGCCGTTCGCCCCCGCCAGTCCACCCACCCTGCCGCCCACACAACTCCAAGAGGCTGACAAGGAATTCGATGAGCGATTACACGTTCTGGAGCAGAAGGCGGGGGGCAGCGAGGCTGGACAATCTTGGGGAAGTACCACCGACACTGATGGAGGACGTACAGAGGCTTTGATTATGTGGGGATGGCACCCCGAGACCCGAAAATGTGACACAAAGATTGACCATCGGAACTGGCGAAAAGCTTCTTTAGCAACAGGTTTTGTCCCCAAGGCCCCAAGACAGCTAAGACACAGTCACGCAGACAGAGGTTTGTCGTGATGTCTTTCATCAGAGGCCTGCGGCGCAACCAGCGGGTTATGGAGGCACAGGGCAGCTCATGCGTCGACATGGCATCGAAGCCCGCGCCGAGCTGTTGCGAGGTGGCTTGCCCGCCGGCTTACCCGATTTGCCTGGTGGCCTTGGGGGGCCTGGCGGCAACGCAATGATGCAGCAGGCAAAACTGTCCCCGGCATGGGGAGGTCAATCGAGTGTCGTGTTGCTTTTTCCGTTCGGGCTGGAGGCTCAGCAGATGATGATGAACAATCCTGGCATGATGCAGCAGGCTCCGTTTCTATGTCCATGTGTCCAACCCCTGAATAGGAATGACACACAAGTGCTTGCATTCCCCATGCTACACAGTTGTCGACGTTGCTGTGGATGGTGTCCCTAGCGTCACCCTTTACAGTCGATGTCGGATTCTTTTGCGGCTCAACGAACATGCTCGTGCAATCAAATAATATGGAAGACGAACGTTACAACGGCTGATGCACGCTGATGCCATATCTCGTTGCGTGTTTCAGGTCGGGTGAGAAACTGAAGCACTGCTTGACGTGAGTCATGAACTTTGCGCAGCGTGTTCGTGTGCATTGGATGTCAAGGCGCAGCAGATGATGCAAGATCCCAACATGATGGCGCAGGCCCCGAAGAATCATGCATGGAAAGCTGGTCTTCTGCGGGAGCCTGCGCTGTCCTTTCACGAGTAATTATGCGTCTTGGGGGAGTCTGCAACTGTCCTGTAGTTCGAAGCGGGTGTATTACGTGCTGTATTGGTTGACGATTCTGAGTGGTAAGATGTCTTTGTTGCACTTTGTGGCTCCTTGTGCTGGGTGCCTCGGAGAGGTGCAACAGATGATGCAAAATCCACAGGCCATGGCCCAATTGCAGCAGATGAGCCTCGGACTGGAAACGGCTCAGAGTGCCGCCCCCTGCCGCCCTGCCTTGCCGCTAGTAAGGATGGGTGGCATGGGCCGCTAGTGAAAGCCAATCCCACAATTCGATCAATTCGCTATCGTCGGCCTTGAAGTCTCCGGGCGGGACATCCTCTAAAGGGGCCTTTGCTTTTGTTCCGGCCTGAAGAATTGCTGAGCAATGCGAGGCCGGAAGACCAGTTCAGTTATCTAAGATATCTTCACGAACAGAATCGAAAAGTTGAGTGCCGGGGACGTGGGGTGGACTCTTCCTGCTTATATGATGCAACAGCTTTGGCCGCCCTATCGGTTTAGTTTACAGGGTCTACGTCGGCAGGGGGCTTGCAGGTTCTCTGGGGCTTGCGAGATTTGCATGGTCTGCAGGGTTTGCAGGCGTTGCGCGGTCTGCGGTAAGTCAAGTGCTTTACGCTGCGAGCTGTTTGACTGCACGATGATCAAACTGAAAGGGCGCATGGGGACTCTGCCCACAAGAGAGTGTTGTTATTCACGATCTTTTGGCGAGGTTATTAATTGAGAGATCTTTGACATGGTGTTGTCTCTTGATGTCTCTTATATATGGATCGGAGCTGACTTTTGTCTTGGCTGAGCCACAACCCAAGACGGCATCATCTAGTTATGTGGTGCTATTGTTTCTGAGTTGAATTGTGGCCAGCACACGGTTTCCATGGATAAGCGCCCGAATGTGAAAGTGTAAGCAAAAGTGGTGAATGCTCGTGAGAGCCTGTCGAGCATGGTTTCGGTACACACCGTGTGTGCGAAGGGAGCACGCGATCAGGTTGATACTGTAGATGTGGTTCTGAGAACCTACCGAGCAGAGGTGCTGGTGTTTTTCCCTGGCGACATATCTGCCAGTCAGGAAGAGATGATGTCAGATTCTGACCTGAGTCTGTGGCAAGACTGGAGCACGGAGTCGATTGCAGCGATGCTGGCCTCTCGTTTCCCCGAGCTTCACATCATTTTGATTCGGCCTTCGCGTCAGCACGATGGTTACAGTTGCTTTGACCATTTTCTGAAAACCAACGCCACTGGGGATCCCTTCAACGGAAACTACAAAGCTTCCTCATGCACTGCAGCCGAGCATCTTCTGCTCCTGCTGCAAGACATCTCAGCAACTTGTGGTCACGACCGCTTCAGTCTTTGTGAATCGTTGCATGTATTGGGATTCAGCAAAGGTGGCACGGTGCTCAATCAGCTTTTGACGGAGATTGGTAGTACAGTCGAGGAGGAGGACGAGGAGCAGACCGCGACGTCTTCCGTGTCCTTTCTCGTCTCAGCGCTCCGAGCACTTGTTTGGCTGGACTCCGGGGTTAATGACGGATGCTGTGTCTTTATCTCTGACGAGAACGTCATGCGTCTGGCAGCAGGAAAGTTGCGGCTGACACAACCGCCAACACAACTGCGTGTGGTGTTTTCTCCGTTTCAGCTATACTCGGAGGATTACATGTATGAGTATGACGACGAAGAGATACCAGCAACTTCGCTGGAACTCGGGTTGGACCGCCTACAGTCGGTAATGCTGCAGGAACGCATTCCCTTTGAAGTTGAGCTGTGTTGTTTCGATCGCGAGGCTTCTTTGCAGACACACTTCCAGGTGATCCAGGAATTTACGTTTCCAGCACATCTTTCCAAGGAGAGTGCTCCTGGCCAGACGAGCATTCACGCAAAGAGATCCACGACTTTCGCTGCTGCACTGAATGCTGCACGAAGTGGCATGCAGAGAGCGAAGACCCTTTCGTTGACGTGTGCGTGCATGTGAAAATTGTAGGTTTCATGCTGACCACCTTGAGAACTTCGTATTCTCTCAGTGTAGTATCAGTGGGACATCATTTTGTTATAGGGCCCATTGTGCACGCCAAACTCCGAGACTGTCTGCAGGTCTCAAGTCGCAGGCGCACCAGACAGACACTGAACATTAGCATGACCCGGCTTCTTCGCATCGTGATCCCTTTAATCTTTTTGCAGAACCTGAATGTCAATTGCGTGCAGCATGTCCCACAAGCAGTGTAAAAATGCAGACACATGTGCAGCACCTCCGTGTGCAATTGAATTTGTATTTGGGGACGGACTTTGCAGTAAAGTGAATAAATCGTCCGCACTTGTTGCTGGTACAGCATGAGGAGATAGTGCGAGGGTTTGCTGCATTGTGCCATGGTTGGCTGAGATGCTAGAGGATGGCGGCAGCCCCATGCTGAGACCCTGTTGAGTCGAGCTGTTGTCGTGGAACTGCACACTTGCGACCGGTTCAGGATACAAGATATGTGGAAAGTTTCGTTTGCTTCGCAACATGTCCCTTTGTGTTGCTCATGGTCTGGCTGGCTGTGGCACGCTCAGAGACTTCTTTCCTCATGTCTCATCTGGTTGGCACGTGTCGGCATTGATCTGATCATATGCATCACCAAGCCCTGGCTTTTTTCAACGGCCCCCATGATGAGCCCGGGGACTTACATTGACAGGTAGAGCTGACATGCGAAGTTCTGAGGGACAAATCGAAATTCTAGGCCTGGCTCTGCCCGGCATGGGCGTCGCGATGGGTGCCGTTCTGTACTGCCTACCGGCTTTGGCAACTGCCAGAGGCGCTCACAATGCCTCTGCACTCGTTTCACTTCGCCGGCCAGCATTCTGTGCAAGGCATTTCCGGGCCGGAGTACGTGGGAGCCAAATTTGCAGGAGTTGTCATGCGATCCCCTAGCAACGACTTTGCTCCGCGAGTGTTGCAACTGAGACGATTTAAGCTGGCAGGACCCTCGCGACAACGAGTGGGTCCCGCCGAAGATAATCTGGAGGCAATGAATTGGCATTAAGCGGAACTACACCACATTTCAACACAGCGGAATGACTATTTCAAGGTCCAGAGTGCCTCTGACTCAAGCTGACGCCGGGAACTGGGGAGTATCGGACGCGAATCCGGCGAAAGATAGAGCCTGTCAAGATGCATTTCATGTTACATTACATGTGTATATACTCAACTGGAGTGACTACGCATGTGCCGGACCAGCAGGATTGGCACATGGAGTGTGACGAGACAGTGACATGCCGCTCATGTGTTTGCCTACTTGCAAAACTTGAACCGCTGCTGAGGGCAGCAAGGGTTCCTAGCTTTTCGGTGTTTGCGCTCCAAAACTCACTGGGATGGGTCGTTTTCGTGACCCAGGGCTGTCTGGGTCAGTGCACTCTATATGTCGGCAACTGCCAGGCTGCTCTCGTCAGCACACGTCTGCTCGGGGGTCGTGCCTGCCGTAAGCACACATCCACGGCATTCATCCTGATCTGTCCTGTCAGCTCTTAGCTCAAAGCTTCGGAGGACGGTTTCCTTGCAATTCGATGTTGCAGCCTCTGCATGCAACGGTGGTCTGCGCTCACCAGTGCCATTACGGCAGCTGGACGGCAACTGCGCTGGCAGGACCTGTGCTGTATCGCTTGCAGGCAGGTTGCCCTGTGCTTCGGCAGGATGCTGTCGCCATCATTGCACGGGTCCGCGAGTCACAGCCTGAGTCGCCCAACATCGATCATGCGGTGCGTTGCGGTGCATTGCGGCGCTGGTGAGTTCTGTGAGGCCAAACAGGATACTCTACAACGCAGCGATCGCAGCCTGCGGCCGCTCCTTTGCTTGGCCCGCGTCCTTGGCACTTCTCTCCGAGTTGAGGCACCAAACAAACCACCCTTTTCGGCTGCTCGATCTTCGATTGGACACTGTTTTTTGTGCCAGGCAGGTGCAGCAGCCGGACGTGAAGAGCGGTCCGGCAGCAGTCCTCTTGAGAGCACAAGGTCATTGGAACACCCTGCAGATGCCATTCTGCGCTTCTCTTGATGCTGTTTACATGCCCTTTGCAACTACAAGGGCACGGAAGTCGGGTGGTCAGTGCTTAGACGTGCTCAAAGATTCGACTATGGATACTACCGCCCCCGGCCCAACAACCTGGAAGGATCTGGGGTCGTGACAGCAGTGGCGACGTCGTAGTTTTCTCGGGAGATCCCGCGCAGGGTGCGAATAGCTGCGATTCGGCAAAAGAGTAACAGAGAGTTTGGAAACCACTTTGGCTCCGGTCTCTCTTCCTCGGCCGGGTACTGTCAGCGACTTCTCGATAGAAACTTCCAGCGCATGAACTTATGCCGTCCCCCCGAAGAAGCGCAGGCAGCTCAATCGACAGCTAAAAACCTCCAGGGGGACAAAATCCAGCTTGAAACAGTCTGTCAGTCCATCGCAAGAAGAACCAGAGAAGGCTTGAACGGAGCTTCGCGCCAGCAGGGCAGACCTTGCCCTCGGACCTGAGGCTTTGGCGCAGCAGCACTAGCCTTGCAGAGGCAGCCTGGTCTTCAAGCCCAGCTTTTGCTGCTCATGGCCGAGGTTCTTAGGGCTTGCAGTCCTGTGCTGGTAATTCGCAGCTGGGCTCGTCGAGAATCAATTCGGGCAGGAGCGCATTTCTCCCGATGTGACGGTCTGCAGCACGGCAGCAACATCCTGGGAGCGGGCTTCATCTTGGGAGGCGCCTTTCAGCGAAGGTCTCTGGGGCGGGTTTAGGGTGGCTTTTGGGCGAGGCCGCCTTGGATCTCCTCGCTTCCGTTGAGCTCAGAGATCTGGACACCGTGGCAGCAGGAACCCTTGCCAGTACGCTTGCAAAAGGCCTGCCAGAACTGAACATAGAAGGGAATGGTTGACTGACAGAGTTAAGATCGCGGTCATGCGTAGCACCATGCTGTGATCAGTTGAAGCCGTTGGATGCCACATTCTGGTCTTGCAGCTTGGGTGCAGTGCCTTTTTTGCTCTCGCTCTGGTTCTGCGCTCTTTTGAGGCGCCTGCTGGTCGCAGGCGCTTGTGCTCGTGGCTGCGACTAACGCGAATGTTGTGGTGATGGGGGCAGCCATGCGCCCAGGGCAGTTTCTGCGTAGCATCTCGCAGACTGTCGTGGATCTGACTGCCGGACAGACCGGTCTGGGTCCACGGGTCCACACGTCGAGGTAGTCAGTGCTTGCGAGCGAGCTCATCGTTGGACGGCTGCCCTGGAGACGCCAGATCAGATCTCGCGAGAGATCTTTTGAATCGCAAGCTTGTGTCAAGGAGCTCCTGGAGCGGATGTTTCAGCAGGCGGGCATCACACTCTCTGAAAATATGTTTGATGAGCTGTCGCGGCATGTTCAGCCATTGAGGGATTACTTGCACCCTCCACAACTGCGGTCAGGACAAAACGCGTCCATTCAGCCAAACACACAGTTGAAACGGGCAGGCATTTAACCGAGCTGCGGGCAGAGCATCCACTCGAACGAGTTTGGAGTTTTTGTGAGTTTCCCAGGGGGTTGTCTCTCGAAGTTGTGGGCAGGAAAGCCGGAACAGGCTGATGCGTGTTTGAAAGAGCTTGCGAGAGACTTCTCACAGTCGCCGACGCGCAGAGCAGATGCTGCATGAATCATCCGCAGAGTCCCGTGGCTCCCAATTTGCCCAAAACACCTTCAATGCAATCTCCAAACACGGATCCACGGACCCAAGCTTGCGAGACTTCCCAAGCTCAGGACCGTGCTCATAGCTGCCAGCTTGCAGGGTTTATGCTGTTTTGCTTCACTATGCGCTAACCACGGGCCGATCTTGCAGGGGCCTTGGCCGGACACTGTCGTGTTGGACTCCGTGCTGCGTGCTTGTGGCCGAGGCCCAGTGAGAGTCCTGCACAGAGCCTATGAGTCTGGTCAGCTCCTTTTCTCTCTTGCTCGGCGTCGCAGGTCTCGCTTGGGAAGCAGTGCTGAGCCTGATCCTTTTGGAATCTTCTTTCTCACGGAATGTTGGTTGAGTGCCAGTATGTTGAAATCATCAGTCTCGGTTCTGGATCCAAGGTCTTTTCGCCAGCATGCCAAGCCAGTTCCTTTCTCCCGGTGCCACAGGCTTTGTACATTGGTGTACATTGATTGTTCTTTTCCAGGCTTACCCCACGCTTCGAGATGTCTTGAGTCTTCAGGCTTTAGTGCAGTGTCTCTGGCTCTGGGCTGTGGGCGGCAATGGATAAAAATGCTGGACATGCTCGAGGCCTGCTGAAACTTGTACTTGCTCGCTTGTTTGTTAGTTGTTCAGTGTGTCGACTTTTCGTCAGCGCGAGCTTGATAGCCCTGGCAGATGCGAGCAGGCTTAAGCTTCTTGCAGACGCATGGAAGCCCTCAAACAAGTCATGAGAAACACTCTGTTAGCAATGGCCGTCGTCGCGACATCAGTCTTTCCTCTGCAGGTTATGTCGCAACAACGGATGACTGCCGACGTCCCTTCTCTCTCAATGGGTCTCGAGGAAGCCGAGCAGCGTAGCTTGCAGGCGATCTTTCGCTTCGCTTGTGCATGTCCAGACTCCAGCATCGGTTGCGCAGGTTGTGGAGACAAAGCTTCTTAGAAGCCTGGCCCACTCTGTGCCAGGCAACTGCATGTCGGAAGTGGCAGCGACACGAAAAAGCCTAGAATGTGTCAACTTGCAGAACTCGTTTCTGTTACATGGACGTCTGTCACAGCTCAAGACAGTGAAGCCTGGCTTTGGATTTGGTTGCTCTGGCAGGTCTTCGTCGTCTGACCAGAGTCAGCATGCCAAAAAAGCATCGCAAGCTTGCATGCAGCGGTTTGCGCGCACTTGTGCACTTTGGCCGTGACCACGACATCTTTTATCTCTACCCCGGCGGCTAAATCGAGCAAAGCTGACGCAACACAAGTGCTCGACACCCCTCAGACTCTCCATACTGCAGCTTGCTTAATTGAGCAGTTTGCCGTGCTTTCGTCATGAACAGCTAGTGCTCTAGTATCTTCTGCGGCATCATGGCGAATGTGCTTCTGAGCCGTGTGCAGCAACATCAGGCAGAGAGGAGCCGAGAGGATCCTAGCAGTTTGGCATACACTCACAGTCATGGAGCAGGCTTCCACCGGATGCGCTTTGCTGCGCCGGCACTTCGCATCCGTTCATCCGAGGCAGGTTGAAGCTCAGTAATTCTCTTGGGACTCGAGGTCATGCGCAAGCCGAAGGTGCTGCGGTGTGGCCTACTCGTAGGTCACTGGGGTCATCTTGTTGCTGCGAGTGTGGAGCCTGTCGGAGGCATTTCTTCGGATGCTCCGAAGAGGAATTGGCGGCCAGGGACGCAGCGATGGCCTCCGGTCGAGCTTCCTATGAGCGGGCCCGGGAGAAGGAAATGTCGCTGGGGCCTCCACTAGGCGCGTCAACGCTGGCATTCATCTCACTGCTGAAGCTTTCATCAATCCCAGTGCTACTCATGTTGTCGAGAGTACCCTGCATCCCATCTAGTGTTGCTGGTGCCTTCGTATCCCATGTGCGCAGAAGCAATTTCGAGCTTGTCTCTTTGGCTGTTGAGGCCGGAAAGTGTATGTGTCGAATTTGAGAAGCAAAGATGGAAGAACGCGGGTCCCAAAGTTGACAATAACAGACTCCACCGGGCAAAAGTTCATGACCTTGACCAAGCGCGACTTTGAGCAGTTAATGAGCTGGAAGCCAGAAATCCAGCAGGAGCCTTGCATGCAAGAGTTTAGGCACCATGCAGACTTTCAACTTCTGGCCCACAGCTGAGGAGATGGTCAAGTACGAGAAGAAGCTGACATAAAGTTGAGACGGTACCCACCGCGAGTTGTAAAACAAGTGTCGACGGAGCTGGTTTCCACCTGTAACGGTCCTGCAAGATCCCACGCGGCCTGTCTCAGTTTGTTGCCACTGTTGCCGTGTGCAGCTTGCGGTTCAATGCAGTGCAAGCATGGGCTTCGCGGCCTGGGCTCCGCGGGTGCGCGACCCGAGTTGCTGGGCCTGGCCTCTTACAATGTAGACGTCTATGTGGCGCAAATGCCTTCTTGCGCAGCTTCTTCTCTGGTGCCTCCAGGACAGGCTGCCAGCTTCACACCGCTGCATGGCATGACACTTCATTGTAAGTTTCGACTATTTGGAGTGCTAAGGCAGCTTCCGAGCAATGGGACTTGAACTCCAGTTGTTGCAGTGCGCGACAACTTGCAGCAATTCCTGCTGGGCACATCGTGGGTGGTGCAAGAGGCGACCTTCTGGATTCAGCTGCTGGGGCCGTGACTGCAATGAGCTACTCCAGCGAGTGGGACACTCGAGCCGCATTGCGTTGCCTGCTAGAGTAATGCAAGCGAGAACTTCCAGTGAGCGTCGAGCCCCTTCAAACTTCAGTTTTCTGCTTTCATCGACAGAACGGCAGCGCAGCTTTTTCATAACTTTGCCCAGCGCAGGACCTACTATTCGTGGGCGGTGACATCGGCACGTTGCAGGCCTTCCGAGGTTCAGACTTGGCCATCGCTCTGGGTGGTAACGTCGGTAGCCGTGTTACATCAGTGACATACGATCACGGCAACGGAGAGGTCGTGGCTGGTGGGCTAAATGGGCGAATGGTCTTCATGCAGGTTTCAACATTACAGTCCGTCGCTAATGTAGACGAAAATTCGGGCGGAAGCCAAGTCAACTCTGTGGCATTTGTGGCCTACTCGGATGATGTTTCAAGCTACAGTGAAGTTGCAAGCTGTAGCTATTTCAATTCTAATATCCGCTTGTGGAGCATGAGTGCAAAAGCGGTCACACGGGAGCTCTTGGGCCACAGCAACGTGGTGTTGGCTCTCAAGCCGCTGGATGGCCTGCAAATGTTGAGCAGTGGGTCAATTGATGGTTTCTTGGGGCTTTGGTCACTGCCCTTGGCGAGACTGCAAGCAGACGGCAGGATATGTTCAGGAAGTACTTTCGTGCCGTTGCCGACTTCGTACCTGTTGGAAGATTGCATTTCAGCGGCATTGCAACAAGCTTCCCCGGGAGGAGGAGACTTTTTCGTGTATGGGCAAGTTGGAAGCACCTCTGCCAATGAATGCCAACTTCTGCAAAACGTGGGTGCATGCGACACGCTTCTTGTGGCACCGTACACGATGTACCGGTTTGAGCTGCCTCTAAAGTATTTGTTCAAGGCCCATGACGGCGCCATTCGTGCAATTGAATCGCTTCCCGACCAGGGAGGTTTAGTAGCAAGCGCCGGAGATGACGGGGCTATCCATGCATGGAGCCCCGACACGGGATTGAAGGTGCGCGACTTTGGGTCTGGGTCTGGCCAGTCGCTGAATCATGGCATCAATTCTATAGCTTATTCGAACACACTCGGTGCGCTTGTTGCAGCCACCTTGCACCAACTGGCATTCTTCGACGCCTCCACCGGGCAACTGCTGACTGTCATCACCCGATCAACAACTTCTCCGGCACTTTCGCTAAGCATGGACACCTGGGGCCTTGTGCTGTCAAGCAGTGGCACAGAGATTGAGGTTTGGCCACAACTAACACGTTGTCCGGATGGCTCATTCCCAAGTTCGACAAGTCAATGCGATCCCTGTCCAGCTGGTCGCGCTGGCACTGATGGTTTCTGCAATCAGGTCTGTGGAAGTGGTAGCCAGAGCACTGGCACGACATGTGAACTTTGCGGTGCGGGCCAAGCAGGAGACGGACAGAGCTGCACCGACTGTCCATTAGGCGAGTTTCAGGACGCCTGCACAGAGGGTTTTTCAGAAGCACCTAGGACCTAGGCCTCTAGGTCCGTTGTTGCTTAGTGACACCTTAGCTGAGCCCAGTGTTGCGCTGTCCTTGCAGGACCAGGTTGGGCAAGCGAGTTGCAAGCCGTGCCCTCGAGGCTCCGCCCAGGCAAACAGTGGGCAGACGAACTGCGTCGCCTGCGAGGAGAACTCCGCAGCTCCATCCGTGGGCTCTGAGTTGTGCCAAGAGTGCCCGGATGGAACCGAGCCCAGTACAGACCATTCGGACTGCTTGACCTGCTCGCAAGGCACAGCTGGTCAGAATGGTGTATGCAATCAGTGCCAAGATGGAGAGCAGAATTCACCGGACTTCACCTTATGTGCTCCGTGTCCAACAGGAATGTTTGGCACAAACGGCTTCTGCTCACCATGCCCTGATGGTGCCCAACCTGACTCAAGCAGATCGGCTTGCGTTCCATGTTCCGGTGGATTTGCGGGAACTGCTGGCGTCTGCAACCGTTGCCCTTTCGGGGAAGAGCCAGACGCTGCCGCCGCGATTTGCATAGCTTGTTCGACAGGAAGAGCCGGTTCAAACGGCAGCTGTGCCAATTGTCCTCTCGGCATGGTGGCAAGCTTGAATCGCTCCGTCTGCGAATTTTGTTCAGATGGACAAGCAGCCGTGAACGGTGTGTGCCAAGTGTGTCCAGATGGTAGCCTTGTGGCAGAGAACCGGTCCGCGTGCCTCGATTGTCCGGATGGCTATGCAGGGACTGGTGGTTTGTGCGATCTCTGCCCAGAGGCTTCGAATTGTGTAGCTGAGTTGGGCTTTCCGTCTGCAACAGGATTTCAATCTGCGGGAGTTGGGCAAGCGCTGACTGCACGAATGACCCAAACACAACATACGTAGCAGCCAAATGTATGTTGAACAATCATACGAATGTTGCATCTGTTCTCGTCTGCAATGGCAGCAGGCAGACCCCAAGCCTAATTAGAGATTCCACCTTAGAAATCCGTAGTTAGAAGAGAATGTACCGTTCAAGCATGAGTGCAGCTTAAGACCCCAATGCCTCAAGCACACCTGCGACTTTCCAACAAAACGGAAGCATGACACGTTCCCCAAGATATGATCGCTCTGTGTTTCTGTCACAGGGGACCGGCGCCAGTGTAGACCGGTCCTTCTGCGAAGATTGTGCAGAAGGCTACTTTGGTCTGGGCGGCTCTTGCACTCTCTGTCCCAACGGAACGCAGCCAGTACTTGGACAGAACACTTCTTGCGGTCCGTGCCCACCGACTACTGCTGGAACACTCGGAGTCTGCACGCAGTGCCCGGATGGTACGCAGCAGAATCCCAAGCGTACTGCATGCGAGAACCTAGCTTTCGTTAGATTTCATCAGGGTATGATTTGTTGATGTATTGCAGCTGGAGGCCCTGATCCCTTGACTCGTCTCAATTCCAAGGAGCTGCCCAGTTGGCACCGCTGGGACTGGTGGCAGTTGCAGCGCGTGCGGCTATCCTTTGATGCAGGATTGGCTTCAACTGTGTAGCATATATGGGGATCTAGTGCGACCCGCAGTTTCAGCTGCGAGGACGCAAATGGGACTTCGTGCACGGAGCAGTCGGCGCGAGCACGTCTTCTGTATGGAGCATCGCGCTGCAGCGAGCACAGCTGCAGGCTGGGCTGAAGCTGCGAAGCTGATAGGGCTGCGAAGCCGCGCTGCCATTGTAAGATGGGTTGTGGCCGGTGGCCTCAATCAGGTTCATAGACAGACTTGACCCAGCGTATGCTGTGAATGGCCTGCTAGGTCAACACTATCTGCTACCTCCTGTCCCAATTCAGAAAGTAAGCCCTGCAAGCCATGGTGCCGTCGAAAGACATCGACCCAGGGCCCACTTCCACGGTGCTGACCTTCTCTACTGCTGCCCCACTCCCAGAGGCACAAGTTGGGGGGTTCGATCGTGCAATGCAGCATGACGCCTCCGCTGCCAGGGTTCTCACTGGCTTGTTGCGACTCTGAGGCAGGTTCCCTGGCCTTCAGGAGCTTGCCACTTGCAGTTGCCAATCGAACGCAACACAAAATCAAGAAAGGTCAGTGCACTGGCGACGCTGTCCGCCGCAGGTGGGTACATGACATGTGGCTTGAGCACTTCAAACATCCAACTCTACAGACAGAGAGTCGCAGTTGTCTAGACATACACTGGCGTTTGAACACGGCTCTCACAGCAACGTGCGTCCCATCTCAAGTATTGAAGAACTGTGTCCAGAAGCGAAAGCTCCGTACATGATACGGGTTAGGATGCAGCCTCTCGAATTCCAGAGGGTGGTGGGTGGTGGGTTAGTTCTAGTTCTCCGACTTGGCGGTCTCGCCCCAGTTCTGCAGGTGCCGACTTCGTTGTCAGCTATAGCTCGCCACCAATCTTTGCAGCTTGAACTCACAAATCATGAATGACGGAAGCGACAAGCTTGAGGAATCTGAACAGGCTGAGCAGCAGCTGAGGCAGCAGCAGCATCTCTGACACAAGTGCTCACTTGCCTATGGATTTGCCGCATCTGGAAATCCGAGTCGTGGGCGGACAAGTGTTGCGCACGTGTTGAAGAGTGTGATACCAGTGTCGTGGTTGAAGGAAGCGGTAGCCTGGTCGTTCTATGGCTTAGAGAAAACAGGACTGGCGTGAGAACGTGGACATGTCGTTCGTCGGGGCAACCGCGGCGCTGATTTGCGTGTGTTTGCACTCGATGGGACTGCTGCGGCTGAGCTGCATGCTCTGGTGTTCGCATCCTGCTTGCGGAGTTGCTTCGGTGCGTCAAGTTGCAAGGTGGATTCTTGGAGCTGGAGTGGTAATCATTGCTCCATCCGCTGCTCTGAGCATCCTTCTATTTGCAGGCACGGGTGTTTTCTTTCTACCCAACCATGCTCTCACCCCGCTTCCCTCACAATTGTTCCCTTTTTTGCCAGGTATGCATCGTTCGGCCTGCCGTGCAGTCAACGGGATCGAACCGATGGCTCGAAGCCGGGCTCGCGGCCTAAAGAATGAGACACGAAGGGTTCGGTTCGCGCGTGTTCGTTCGTGAGTCACAGGTTGTTTTCATCA